ATAGCACATTAAAAAACAATAGCTGGGGGAGCCTTCAGGGCTCTGCTCCAGGTCTGTCCAGACAAGATTCAGGGTGAAGACTTTTCCTGGGGGGAACTTCAGTTGCTGCATGGGAGAGCTTGGCCACAACAAACAAAGAAGAGGGGGGAAAGTGTGTGTGTGTGTGTGTGTGTACGATACTAGGCAGCCATTAAGAAAGCAAAAATATGATCCCTTGGTAATAGAGACTAGTGAGTGAAGTGGTCACCCTTGTTAGATAGCTATAATGAGGGAGAACTTAAAAACAAACAGGGGAGGGCAGCATGGGGGGGAGCAGTGCTCAATATATCAAGGACCCAATGAATCAGTTTAAAACATGGAAAAGAGCAGGGTAGTGTTGTTACCACTGCATTCAATTTCATGCCTATTTTTGTACAGAAATGATCCCTAAAGCAGCCATTGCCAGTTTCATAGACCATCCTCTATGTCTATGGAAATGACTGGATTGCTGATGTTGGCCAAGTCTGTGGATAGACTGCACTCACCTGGGCTGGGGCTTGGCTGCTCCCAGGAGCCATTCTCTCTCAGTCCAGGCTCCCTGTGTAGGTAGCAAATTAACCAAAGTGACTCCATTTTGTAAAGTCCCTTCATCTTATCCCTGGACCTTATCTACCCCAGGCATCTGCTTCCCCCACCCTTTATGGCCCCACCAATAGAGCAGCAGCCAGCACTCTCACTAACCGATGTCCCAAGTAATCATGGGATGTTCTAATTCTATGCCTTTCTGATGAGCATGAGACAGCCTGGAGCCACCTGGAAAGTCCTTTCCTTCTTTCCTTCTGCACAGAAAGCCCATCTGCCCCACCTGTAATCTTAATGCTAGGTTGACTGCCTTGGTGCTCATACTCCGGGCATTTGCTGTTTGTTGGGCCTCGTAATAAAACTTCTAACTTGTCTCCAGCTTTAGTGTCTGGATTTGACCCAATACCTTCTTGGGGTAGGTTTTGTTCCTCTGCAGACTGAGCTGGGGAGGGAGACGGATCCCAGAGAAGAGCTCTTTCTCCTCTCTTCATAGGCAGGAGGCTGCCCAACTGGAATTTACAGAGGGCAAGATCCCATAGGAGTTAGGAAGACCCAGGCCTTGCCCTCAGGGAAAGGACTCCAACCTGTAGAGGGAGGGAAGCAGCAGGGAGGGTCAGGGTAGGAAATGAAGCCGATCTCAAAAGGAAACTACTTCCCTCCTCTTACTTCTCTTCTGCACCCCTCTTTTCCCCCATCCTCCTACAGAGCCCTCAGAGGAAGATGAAGCTTGGGATCCCAGACAGGATGAGACCAGTCAGAGTCTCAATGACCCCTGAGACAGAGCTCTCCCTGGAACTGATCCTCTGCCCTCCCTGCATCCCCTCCTCAATTAACACACATTATTTAAACAATAGACACTCTGCTAGATCTAGCAGGGAGGGAGGTTAGGGAAGGCTGAGAAAGGGGAGGGCTCTGGAATGGAGCAGCCAAGGAAAGCCCGAGACTGGGATACAAAACCCAGGCTGGGATCCAGCCACTTGTGTGGGACCCGAGAGCTCTTAAAGATGTGGAGCTGGGGGAGCAGGAGGCCTGGGGCAGGGGAGCAGGGGTGGGATCTGGGAGTCAGGACAGTCTAACCCTGACCCTAAATGCCTCCGACTTTAACCCTAAATGCTCATGACAGGGAGGTCAGGGACACTTGATTGGAAGAAGTGTTCCAAATGGACATCAAGCTTGGGCAGGTAAGGATGACTGTGTCCTGAGGTCTAGCTAGGATCTGGGGAGGATGCCCAGGACCCTCTGGTACAGCTTAGGCTTGGAATCCCTCCAGGGAGCCAAATGGCTGGGATCTGATAGGGAACCAGCCCAAGAGGCACAGATTCAGATAAGGGGGATCAGGAAAGAGCTTTGGTTCCTGCCTCCAAGGTGGGGCTTGAGGCAGGAGGTAGGACTTGTGGATACTTACAGGGACTGGGAGTGAAGGCAGGATTCTTATGGGCAAAATCTGACGTTTGGGAAAGTGTGACCCAATGAGAAATCTCAGGCGGGGTGGTGGGGGGGGAAGGTCAGCCAGGATGTTTAGGAAGTGATTGGGAGTCTGGAAAAGTTTTAGGGGCAGGGAGCTGGTCCGGTAGCCAGGCCTGGGAGGCATGCTTCTGGCAGACCTGGGGAATGAGACCCAACGGCAAGGACAGCAAACAAAGGTCAGGATGTAAGTGGGAACACTGGCTCAGACCTACCTGGGATCTGCATGCACAGAGTGGGCTTCTGGAAGGCAGAGCGATCTTAGGTCCCAGGGAAGGCAGAGAGAACTCAGGTCAAAAGGAAAAAGGAGAGAATCTGAGCTCCAGGGAAGGCAGAGCAGTCTCAGCTCAAAGACTTCCTGTTTCCCACCAGCCCACTCTGATCCTCCTAGTCCCAAGGACACCACCCGGTCCAACCCTTGAGGCCCCCAGGATGGCTGAGCCCTTTCCTCCAATCACACCCAGGGCCAGAACTCAAGGACCCTGACTGTCTCTCCTTCCCAAGCCCACCCCTCCATCACGTGGAAAGCCTTCTCCAATGCAATGATCCCCTCTTCCCCCTAAACTCCTCCCAGCCTCCAAACTCCACCCCAGTGCTCCAACTCCACCTGGGCCACCCACCCACCAGGCTGGTCATCTCTGAGAGCTTCTCCCCCCCAGTGCCTCCCCCACCTCCCTCCCTCCCAGACTCACGCCCTCCTCCTTCTGAGCAGAAACACTGCCTTGATCCAACTGCAGCCCCAGACTAAGTGAAAGTGATGGACTCTACACTTTGAGGAGCTGGTAGCAAATGGCTCTCAGGAAAATTAGGATCTATATACCATTTGCAACTGTAAATCCAGATTGGATCAGACTGAGTTTCTCCCAGTGAGAAATCCAGTTCTCCCTTTGTAATTGTGATGTTTGACCCTCTGCAAAAATATCAGACCTTAAGGGTAAATACACTTAAAATTCAGCATTGAGGCAATGTGATGAGGAACTGTAAGAATAAGAATTGAAGGTAATTGGGTCAGAATTACTCAATTCTACTCTGAATGCAGTCTAGAGTGTCACATTGAGAGATGAATGAAGTGAATTTTTTATGTAAGATAATTCACAAATGAACTGAATTGATGTCATTTAGCAATTTTTCATGTTTTAAATCTATAACATTGTTTATGTTATTATGCTTCTGATTTTTCTCCTGTTGGAATGTTTGGGAAACCATTGCATAAAATGCTGTAATTTGAAAAATAATTTCTAGAGGGTGATACAATTGTATTCTTGGAAATTTATCTCCTCAGCAATTTGAAACTATGCCCAAAGGGCTATAAAATTGTTCATACCCCTTGATCCCTCAATACCACTACTAGGTCTGTATCCCAAAGAGATCATAAAAATGGAGAAAAGACCCACATGTACAAAAATATTCATAACTGCTCTTCTTGTGGTGGTAAAGAATTGGAAATTTAGGGGATACCCATCAGTTGGGGAATGGCTGAACAAGTTGTGTGTTAGAAATACGCTTGACACCTAAAATTTAGTATCAAGAAAGTTTATTACAGAGAAAGTCCAGAGGATTAGACCTTTCTGACCAGAAGTAGGCTCCACCCCTCTTAGGGAGGGATAGGCCCTGAGCACAAGGGCAAGCATGCTTTTATACATTCAAATTTGGCGTGAAACCTCCCAGGCCCGGATTGGTCCATTCCTTCCCAGGTTACACCCCTCCTTACATGTTTCCCCTTGATATGCTCAAGTATGTTCCCCCTCCTGAGGTCATACATCCCATGACTCGTTAATGAGGCTCTCATTTTATGCAGGGTGTGGCAGATAATAGTAATGAAGAGGCGCACTAACATTTTTCAGGTGTCCTCAGGTTGACCCTAACTGGTCTGAGCTGGCTCGACCCTTATCTTGAATTTGGAGTCTTTTTAGAGCCATCAACTTACTTCTTATTGCTTGAGCCCTCACCCACCTACAGTGTACTGCTTCCTGGAATAGTTCTTTGAATCTCCGCGTTATTCTCCTTCTCTATGGAAATATGACTCTCACAATTCCCTCCTCTTTTTCTCAATAAGAATTATATTTCCACACTTTTTGTTCTTTCCTCAAAGCGTTTTAACATTAGTTCGAATTCTTCATCAGAGGGGGAGGAATGGTCATTAACTGGCTCAATCATCATCCTAACTCCTGTTACCAGAACCCGTCCCACTGAGGTACTTTTCAATGGAATTTTGGGGACTTAATATGGGAGAAGGAAGGGAGGAGTTGACTGACTCATTGACAAAGTAAAAAGGGGCCAGTTCCCTTATTAAGTGCAGATACAGAGACCCAAAAGGAACCATAAATTGTCCATTTAAAACTTCAGAAGTCTCTTCTCATACAGCTGACACTCTGGACATCATCTGGTGAAGTCTTCTTTTTTGTCTAAGTGCTGTTCAAACAGTGTCCAGCAGACTCTCCTCCTGCAGAGATCCTCCTTCTTGTGTCCACTCTCCTACAAGATTGATCTCAACACTATTTTAAATTACCTTGCTAATAACCAAGGCAAATAATGAAAATCAACTCAACCCCTATGTCTTCACCATTACAAGATCAAAATGGAAACTTTGTCCAATTGTCATGTTTCAAAAAACTCAAATTAAAAAAAATTAGAACCTAGCTTTACACTCTGCATTACTTCGAGTTTTATACCTTGCATTAGTTGACTATTCATTCCTATTTATATTCCCCATCAGGAAGATGAGATTCCATTAAGGAATTAGTAACAGACTCCAATCCATAGTAGTTAATTTAAAACCACTGCATATCAAATAACAAAACACTCCCAACTTCTAGTCATGTACAAATAAAAAATCCTTAATTAAAATAGATACTTTTTTCAAGGCATTTACAAGATAAGCCATAAGTTACTCCTCTTTAACATTAATTGTAACAAACTGAGACAACTTTAACATTAACTAAGTATTAACGAAGTCACAGAATAATATCCTAGTTCCACAGTGTCCTGGTCTAATTATCCCCTAATGATAGGGGATGGGTCCAAGCCGAGACCCTCACCCCTTTCCCCAGAAAGAATCTGGCTCCCATCAGTCCATGGGCCCCAACTCCTCATCTTCCTTTGAAAGCCCTAGCCCCACCCCTGGTCACCCAAAGTTTCTTCAGTGTATGCAAGATCCACCCTGGCCCCAATTCAAACGCTGAGACTTTCTCATGCCTGCTTGTCCTTATGGGAGTCACCTGGCCTATATGGTTTATCTACAACAAACTTTCCCCCTGACTGAAAGACCTGGGCTGAACTCCTTCTGGAGGAACCCTTGTGCTGTGACCTTGGAGTTCCAGTGCCTCCAAACCTCCAGACCTCATCATAACCATTATGAGAAATTAAAGGATCCTGACTTATACAGGAATATACTAGTAACAGATGTCAAGACTGAATACTACTTTGAAATTCCAGGCCAAATAACTCAAACTTATACCTGCATCTTACTATAATAACCTCAGATGTTCCCGCATCAACCTATTGTTTAATAAATTAGATATTTATGCTGACAAACTTATGATTGGAGGAATTTGCCATGAAAGAACATAACTAAAGTAAGGGAACAATGCTTCCCTAGAAGGGAAGTCCTAGTTCATGTCAACTCCAGGCAGAAGTTACATATATATGACCAACTGCATTGAGCCAGGTTTAAAGTCTGCCAGGTGTCATAGTGGGGAAATTGAGTCAGGAGAATCCTACCTCAACCAATGCAGAAAAGTCATTCTCCCGACCTTCCCATTGATGCGGTCTAGAGATCAGGGGTTCTGGCACCCCAAAATCACGATACCTGGGTCCTGCCCAAAAGAATTTGACCCAAGCCTTCTTGCAGCCAAAAACAAGGTTTATTGAAGATTCGCCATATTAGCCAGACTCTTAAGGAGTCTGAGCATCTATGGGCTATTGGCTAGATTGTGAAAATCTGAGTATCTAAATGGAGACAAGATGGACCTTATATACAGAAAGACTGGGAGAGTGGCCAAGTAGTCCATGAGGTAATAGAATTCCCAAGGGTGGGAAATGGAGCCTAGGTGGGACCAAAGGTGGGAAGTGGTCTGGGGCCATAGGGAGGCACCAGTTGATGGGACTATAGCCTCAGGGGAACGCCAGAGATTTGGCTATGTGGGAAAGTCCAGGGTTTTTCCTTTCTGGGGCTCAGATTCCAACCCCAACACCATGAGAACACCTTCTTGCAGCTCATAGATGCAGCTCACAAACCTCTTTGCAGATTGCTGACGTCATGAGTTAGTAGCTCAATCAGTTCCTTGTTAACCATCCCTGGAGTTAAACTCAGAGCAACAGTTCGTTAACAGTTTCCAAGGTCTTAGATAGCAAATTCCCCTCAACAGAGCTTCAGGTGTGACTATAATTTCACATTAATTAGGGAACATCTCCAAAGTGAGCTCTAAGTAGTTTGCATAACTTCCTACACGTATTCTGGTTCCTAATAACATCCTGAGTAAAATCAAATTTCGTGAACATAAGAATGCTCTTGATCAGCTTTAGCTGTCGACACAGGAAGGGGCATTCTTAGCTCACTCAGGAAGAAAGATCAGTTCAGGTTTTTGGCCCTTATTGGGGC